CTTTGTAAAAGCAGTTTACACCAAGCTACAAACTCTGGCTTCTTTGAAAATGGACAAGGAACCACAAACTCAAACTCCAAGAGTGAAACGGGATAGTCAAGGGTTGGAGGTAAGCTCTGTCTTATTTAAATCAAGAGAAATTATCCCCAAATCAAGAAAAAGAGAAGCTTATAAGTAGCATTTATTTGCTTTCAGGTGTCTAGGTTGGATTTTGGTTGAGCTTGGGGCTCTTTGGAGGATACAGTGCACCTCTCTCTCATGAAGATGGATGTTCAGTTATAAAGGAGGCTTTTTCTAAGGGAATTACATTTTCTGATATTTCAAATGCATGGTTGTTTAGATTGCGATCTTGATTGTAAGATTGCACAATTTTACGATATTAAGTGCCTTAAATGATTTATATCAAATAAAAATTGTGGATATTGAAGCATTGATCGAAAATCATACATAAAATTATAAAATCATAAGGTCGTGTGATCTTAAACGAGTTTAAAAGTTAAATTCGTTTGGATTTATAAATGGTAATTAAGAGTTTTTTAATTAATAAAATAAAAAGTCCTAAATTTTTCATATAAATCTTCAAAATTAGAAATTAAAAGGTTGACTAATCTGTTTATCTTCTCTATAGCATCAAAACAATAATAGAAAGGTTAGTTAGCCTTTAAATTTCAAAATTAGTATCTAAGTTTGTTCTTCTTCTCTGGCAATGGTAGTAACATTAATAACGTCTCCATCTCTAGAATTTCATCGTTGTCGCTGGTTTTGTATTGCCATCAATGTTGCGTTGCTGTTGGTGCTGCTTGCGTTGCTGTTGGTGCTGCTTGCGTTGCCACCAATGCTACTTGCATTGTCGTTGGTGTTGCCTACATTGTCGCTATGGTGGCTTGCTTGTTTCGACGTGCTAAAGTCGTCCCCTCCATTGAATACTCCAATATGTACTTTTCTTTTGTTTTAATTTATTTATTTTTAGTTATACTTTAATCTTTCTAATTCTTTTATCATGTTATGTTTATTTTTTATATGTAAAAATATTTTTTTTATTTACGTAAAATAAAGATAGATTTATATTTTACTTGTACAATATAATTATTATTTTTATTTAAAATATTATAAATTTATATGATTGCAAGTCAGTATTATTGAAATTGTTCAATATTGAATCATAGAATTATTGTTTACATAATGATTTTATATAATATATTTTTCTTTCAATTTTTTTGATTTTTTTTCTAATTTACTTTTATTTTTCATATCAAGAATAAGAATGATTTTTAACAAATATTTATATTTATATTGTTTTTTTTTATTTGACTTATGGGCTTTAATGGCTTTAAATAATGATGGTATCTCTCTTCAAAAAGATGTGCAACAAAAGGTGCTTTTGAAAATAGAAGTGATATTGGTTAGGAATATAATTTTGATGTAAATGGTAAATCTAAAAAAATTAAATGAAGGTATTGTTAAAAGGAAATTATTAGAGGTAAATTTCATTTTAAACATCATTTGGCATGTACTGAAAATAATGTTTGAGCATGTTTGAGTGTGCTAAAGGATGTTAGACAAAAAAATTGAAGTTCTAGTAATGCTTCGTTTGACAACGCTGCATATAGTACCTTTTGCATATATTTACAAAACTTTTTGTAATTTATGTATTTAGTAAATTATCCATCTTTATTTTTTTGGAAATGAATATAAAAATCATCTTATCCAAAATTAATAGAATTCCTAAATAATTTAATAAAATTCTCAAATCTTTTCTGTACACTATACATTAAATTGTTAATTACTTTAATTTTAAATAATAACGTGTGTAATTAAGTAATTTTACAATAGGTAATTTTTTTCAAAATATAATTATCAAACATTAAAATGCTTTTCATGGCAGTATAGTACACCGCTTCTAACAACTATAGCTACAAGACAACACCAGACAATATTGTCAAATTAAGCTTAAATCAATTGGAGCATTCAAAAAAGAAACAAAGGTTCAACAATGGGGATGGAGGAACTGATGATAATGATGAAGAGGTGATACAAGGAAAAGAAAAACTTATGGGAAAAAAGCATACTATTGATTCTCTGTTTAGGAGATCCAAAAGCACTCAACTCACAATTAATCAAATGTTGAAACCTTACTTGAAGAAGGAAGCACATCAATGTGTTGCCAAATTTTTTTACACAAGTGCAATGCATTTTAATTATGTGAAGAATCCATATTTTATACGAATGTGTGAGGTAATTGGGAGGTATGGGATTAGGTAAAAACCTTCTTCTTATCACTAGTTTAGAGAAACATATTTGAAGAAGAGGTAAGCTACACAAATGAATTGCTTGAGGAGCCTAAAAAAGAATGGACAAAAACTGATTGTATTATTATGTCAGATGGATGGATTGATAAAAAATGGCGATCTATAGTGAATTTTTTGGTGAATAATCTCATGGGAACAATTTTTTTTTTTTATCATCAATTGATACATCTAAAATTTCGAAAATTACTAAAAAGGTTTTTGAAATGGTAGATGATATCATTAAGAAAGTGAGGGAAGAAAATATTGTGCAGATCATTACAAACAATGCTGCTAATTTTAAAGCTGAAAGGGGGATGTTAATGGAAAAAAGAAAAACATTATTTTAGATACCTTGTGTAGCACATTGTATTGATTTAATATTGGAGATCCACAAAGATATAATTTATAAGGGAAAAAAAGTAACAATTTTTTTCAATTCAAGAATTCTACTTATTTTCTTGATAAAGTAGTTTACCAAAGATAGGGATTTAATTAGACCAGTTGCCACTTGTTTTGCTACCTTATATTTTATTTTGGGGTGCCTCAATGAATTTAAGGGTGCATTGGTGTCCATATTTTCCTCCCTTAAATGGAAACATAGTGAGTATTCAAAAATGAGAGATGGAAAGTTTGTAGAGAAAGTGGTTTTGAATAAAAACTTTTGGCAAAATATTACTATATCTTTAAAAGCTACATATCCACTTATTAAGGTACTTCGTTTGGTAGACTCTTATAAGAAGTTGGTCATGCCTTTCATTTATGAAGAAATGAATTGTTGCATGGAAAAAATTCAAAGATTATCTTCCATGTCATAATTTTCTTTAGCTTCTATATCTTGATTGTCCTCATCACCCTAATCATCAACAAAAGTGGTCTCTAATGAATTATGCTTTGCCAATTCATCTTCTTTGTCATCTTCTAAAAAAGCATCTTCCATGGCATCTTCACTTTCAAAATATATTAATTCTTCATTTGTTTGGAAATCAGCTAGCCATTCATCATCTGAGAAGCTACATTTAACTCAACTTGCTTCCTCACTTGCTTGTCTTTCAATTTTAAGTTACATATGACAAATACCAAATTATTCATTTTCCTTTGATGTAGATGATTCCTCCTTTTTGTATGCACCTACAACAATTCATTTGTTATAAATTATTAATAAAAATTAAGAAATAATAATATAAAAAACTAAGTGTTAATTAGATCAAATTTAAAGGATAATAAAATTTAACCATCTCTAAAGCATTTTAATTACATTTACAACCAGATGAACTGCAAGTTAAACTAATAATTTGAATCACAAAATGTTGTAATTTAGGACACTCATCTCCATAAAAGTCCCACAAATCAGCTAGAGATTTTTTATTTCACATATTTCTTGCTTGAGTACTCCCAAATGACCCTTTATGAGCCTTGAAAAGATCAATTTGAGAATCAATTTTATTCCTTTCATATTGATTCAACACCATCATTCCCAACCAATCATATCAACCCCTTTTAACATCCATATCAACCTTGTAATTGTTTTTTAGGATCTGGATCAAAACAAAGATGGGACTTCAAAAAATATGTTGCTGCATGCAATGGTCTATGGAGTTGAGATGCCCATCTATTATTAATAATTTTCCAAATAGGCTTGTAACTTTAAAAGAAAGAAAGAAAGAAAGAAAGAAAGAAAAAGGGCATATTAGAAACTTTTGAGTATTAAATTAAATAATTAATTATATGAAGTAAAAATTAATCATACCATTTCTTGACATTCTTAAATTTTTCTTGAATTTTTTCCTTGTGGCCATCCATCTCTTCATAAATAAAAGGCATGGTCGGCTTCTCATTAGAGTCCACCAAATGAAATACCTTGATGAGTGGATATGTAGCTTTTAAACAAATAAAAATAATTGTTAAA